GGGCACATATTGTCACTGTCGTCCGAAACCGATATTGGGGCTAGTACGGTATCTTGTGGATGGGCACTTGTGAGTGGTATTTCTTTCTCTTTCGGGTTCTCCAAGCTTGGATGTTCACTTCACCTTCACTTCACTTCACCTAGGGTTGTTTGTTTGTTCCATCCGTTTTCCCCAATGGACTACTGAGGAACCTTTGTGGCATCTCTTCCGTGCCCCCCCTCCCTCGATATGTCTGGAATGTCGGTGTCGGGTTGGGGTTGGACTGGGCGGACTCGCACCTTCTTGTTCTGTGCCGTTCTGTGCCATTGACGGTGATGACCTTCCCTTTGTTTCCTCATGCTGTGCACGATGAATTGGAAACCGGGATATGGCATATCTGCTGTGCTAGGGGACGTGCGTGGAGGAGCTACGCATTTGGGGGGTGGGGGTGGGGGTGGATGGTCCCTTAACTGTGTTTGGCTGTGGGGTAGTAGAAAGTGTTAGCCGGATGGGTATGGGGAGGATCTTGGTGGGTTGGGTGTGACTGCGCGTGGGGTAATTTTGGCTCGGGGGAGGAAGGACGCGTGGTACTCGATGATATATTTTGGTTCTTGATTGATCCCCTATAGCTGTCTAGGTTGTGATTTGCATGTGAGGGAGGGGGGTCGAACAAATGACTGGATGAACCTGGGGCTCGAGAGCTGAAGATCTGAAAGGTGTGAAAGGCGGGATGCCGTTTTAAGCTACTGCACTTTTGCATTAACTCTCGTGGTTCAGAGCTTAAGCAGGGAAGTAAGTTAGAAGGTCATTGCATTTTAATATTATGGAGTTCTCCTTCTCTCTCTACAAGTGCTATATCTGTTCCGCCGATCGTCCCTCGATATCTATCATAGGATATGTGCTCTAGCTCACTATGATACATCACCTCAGGGGCAAAAAGCTACACATCATACCCATCACACATACGGGCAAGTACTCCCCCCCCCATCTCATCTCACCTAAGCACCAAAGGCGGGAACCAAGAAAGCTTAAAAATCCAACTCAAACCTATAGTCTAATACCTTCTCTCAGCCACTCGGCCTGATGGCTATAGTTGAAGGTGTCTGTCTATGTGTGTGTGTGTGGTGACTAGCATTTCCGGAAAAAACCAGAAATGTCCAGTCTTGTACCTAATGGATGTCACCTTGTCGTCCAATTTTGTCCGGCTTATATTAGCCACCCAATATATACAAGTGCCAGGCAAGGATGTTTCGTACAAGAACAGGGATAATCTGCTGGTCAACCACCCTTGTCTTGTACAAGTATGAAAACATCTTGCCTGACACTTGTACTCGAGTTTATTGATATTGGGATAGAACCGCACTTGTGTTTGCGGGGGTTTACCCCTTTTGTAGAGAAGTACTTTCTTCTTCCTCCCCTCTTCTTTTCTAGTTTTGTGGGGTGGTGGTTTGGGAAGTACAGTGCGAGTACAAGTACTTGTGTCCTGTGGTACCGGGGGAAAAGGGGGCTGGTGAGATTATAAATTTTGGTGTTGACTATTTTCGATTGGATGCATTTGGTTGGCGGAGTGCTGTTCGGATAGAGGAGAAGACGGATGGACCGAAAGCTGGCCCGTCCCGGAATCCAGTAACAAAAACACTCGGAAGGCTCAAGAAAGACGAACTACGGCTAGGAGTGATATATGGAAGCCCCAATCCCCACGACCACGGGCCGAGAACGAGGCGAGGAAGGAAGCAGGCCGGAAGGCAGGGGAAAAACCACCCTCAACTTCCATAACAAACTTCTCGGGAATGAAGAAACGGGAACATCCCGATGCGCACGTTTCTTCGGTTCAGATAGATATAGATAGATGGTTAGAGATATTCCCCCGCAGGTGTGTGTGATGGGTCCCCCTCCGCTTTCGCCTCCCGGACCCTGGAACCGTGGCAGGGTGCATCACATCGCAACGCGTAGGCTGTCAAGGGGCCCTTGTTTCGGAAAGTGGGTGGACATTGGTGGACTTTTCGTACCGGGTTGGTCAGTTGGTTTTTGCAGGCTGGGCTTGCACGGGGGACTGACTGGTTTTTTTCTTTTGCACGCTCAGAATCCGTAATATCCTTGCCCCTTCATTCACCTTTTTCTTCTTCTTCATTTTTTTCCTTCCTTCTTTGCACTTTGTGCGGGGGAAGGGTCCGGCTGCCGTTGGGGGTGTGGTCAATAGGTTACTCGAGTTAGATGGGGGGTTGCAGGGTATTATGGACGGATGGTATCGTTGTGTCTTTAACTTTGAGATAAGGTTCATGTGAAGGGAGTTATGCCGTGTTACGCTTCCTTCACCTTCCTAATACTTTAGTATACAAGTACTTGTGTGCGCAATATTCCTGGGCGCTGATGGTGTTTTTTTCTTTTTCTTTTTCCCTTCTTCTTTTCTTTTCTTCTTTCTTCATTTCCCTTTCTTCCCTTCTCTCTTTCTATCTTACTAGTGTTGTAGATGGGCACGTGTTAGTACTGTTGGGTAGTTTTTCCCTAAATAATGTGACGAACGAATAGGTTGGGGTTTATTTGTATTAAATGATATGTGCATTTCACATGAAATATCATACCTCTACTCGAGCAGGGGGCCCTTTTGGGTTCTTTTTTTGGACCATGGTTTGATTGAGGGCTTCGGGTAGCTTTGGATTACGGGCGGAGAAGGTGGGGGGGAGGGGGTTTCGTTGGTATCATACAAGTATAGTCGGTTCTTGGCACCCCTCATTGTTTGTCTACTTGGGGGAAGTTGCAGTTCGATATCTAGTTCAGGTCACCATACTCGAGTACAAAAAGCAATGAGGTTATGATACCAGTTGTTGTTCCTACGGTGTATGAGTAAGCAGTAAGGGAGTGGGGGGGAGGCAAGGGGAAACGCGTTGCTACTATCATTTCCTTTCGAGGTTGCCACTACTCGAGTAAAGGTTCGATAGAACTAGAAGTTCAATACAAATAGGTTGATTGGTGGTGGGGGGGGGGCGATTTGAGTGACAGCCATCCACAATTTTGCCTTGCGTTACTAAACCTTTTTCGAATCGTCGAGGGCGGTGGATCGACGGCGAAAGTTTCCCGGTACGGAGAGCCTGATATATACCTGGGCGTTTTCCAACTTCTGTTTCTGGGAAGGCACAGGAGTTGTATATGCCCAAGAATGCAGGGCAAATGTGCCACACATAAGGAGTGTATATCAGCGTGGGATCACCAAATATTATCAATGGGTTGTCTCCCTGGAATGGTCGCATGATGAACTAATGCGAGTTGCTTCAGTGAAACGATTCCTTCATAGTAAAATCCTCGATCCGCCACCATATCGCTGCCAGCATTCCGAGGAGAAGTGGAGAGCAGTCTTTCTCTTTCTAGAAGGGGATTCCTTGTGCCCCATGGTGGTATAGCGCTCCGTGTTCACCTGTACTGTACTGGTACGGCCCAACAGGTGGTGATCGGGGAAAAGCCATCTCTGGAGCTAACCCCGGGATCGGCGAGCCTCATAAGGCTTGTTAATAATGGTAGGGCATCCAAACGTCTTGACTCGCTAGTAATTCCTGCAAACACGCTGAGGCAGGTAGGCGTTCCACACACACGAAGGGGGTGGGGGTTAGATTTGACAGCCAATGACAAATCGGGCTTGGGTAGCACGACATAAGATTCTCCCCACCATTTTGCGCCGCATCTTAAATGTTGCGAGTGTGGGTGCGGGGTCTGCAGGAAGACCATCACAGTATTCCATCCGTCTCACTGGCAATCTTGGACAGAAATCTTTGAAACCATTCCCCCACATTCCACGCCTCCACCAAATCCGTCCTTCCCTCTTCCCCGGAGGCAAAGGGTAGGGGAGGAACGGAAGGGATGGGGAGGAGGTGAACGGTGATAGAAAAACAAAACAACAAAAAAAAAGAAAATACCCCCCCCCGAGGAAAAACCAAACGCGAATAGACCGTAACATGGAGCCAGCATCGATTTGTTCTGTGCGGTGCGGTGCATGCATGCATATTCGTGACCGATTGCTGTACTAGTATGATGTATTTTTATATTGCCCTTCTCAAACTAATCTACCGCCCCCGCATCGATGCTC